GTATATCTATATAAGAATATGGGGACGTGTGTGTGTGGTGTGGGCCCCGGGGGTTGGGAATGCAGATAATAAAGTTGATGAACGAGTTGGCCGGGAAGGAATCTTTATTGTTTAAACAAACCGTATATCGCCATGTGATGAGCGAGCGACGCAAATCCTCCTTGTCCCATACGCCGTGTTTTATCACCCCGAGCCGGCACACGCGGATCCAAACCCATCTCTTCTCCAGGAGGAGTGCAAATACTGCGCTACGGCTGTGACTGCGCTACATCCTTCTCTCTCTGGATTGGCTCAGTGTTCTCTGTACAGCGCTGCGGTATATGTCAGAGCTATATAACTGTATAATAATAGTGTGACTGTGGGGGGGACTTTAGAATAGTGTGATTGTGGAAGGAGCTCCTGTCCTGTCTATGGGGGTCCCGGCATATACATTGGCGTTGGCCCTGTGCAGTGGAATGGGTCGGGGGGCGTTCTGTGTGGTGCAGAGAGGAGGAAGTGCTCTGAGTCTTCGCGGGCAGCTGTGAATTTATTTTTCGCACTTACAGTTTGTCTTTCATGTGAGACGTGTCGGGTCCCCTCACCAAAAGGCACTTCCTGCGCCTACGCTCCCTCCCCGGCTTCCTGTGTCATCTTCAGGGGTCTCGTTACACTATCCTCTGCGCTCGCCGCCATTCCTCTGCGCTCGCCGCCATTCCTCTGCGCTCGCCGCCTGCAGTAAATATTCAGCTTTTTTACAATCCTGAAGACGTGAAAAATTTACATTTTTGATATAACTCCGCTCTAGCGTCGGTGTGCGATGTGTACCGTTGGCTCGCTGTCTGTTCAGCTGCCCGGCGTCCCTGGTGAAGGGGCGGTTGTTATTTGACCAGAGAGACATATTGGATTGGAGCAAGGGTTATGGGAAAGGAGAGGGGGAGGTCATAATGATCCAGCAGCTTACCCCGCCATCAGGAAGACTTTGCAGCCCCCCACCCTCAAGAAAAATGAGAACTTCTCCTAATGTGGTGATGGCGTCTCCTCCTCGCCGTGTCCCCGGCCTGGGAAAGTGCAGCCGATAGTATCATGAAGGATGACGGCTCAGGCAGTAAAATCTGCTTGTTGGGGAATGTTGCTGAGCTGCAGATAGCTGGACGTGTGGGTGGAGATCCAAGAGTTCTGCATTGACCCCCCCTCCCCTCCCCCCCATCTTGCGGGAGGAGGCCACATGCTCACTGGCAGAGCCTGATGGGCCTTGTAGTTCACCAGCAGCTAGTGCCCCATTAAAGTTCAACTTCAGCATAAACTTCTTTTATTCTTCTCTTTGGACGCAGAAGGAAAATGTCAGAGGACTCTATCTGGGCTTTTATTTGTCTGCCCCTGCTGGGGAGACTTGCCCTCACTTCCTGTCTAGGCGAAGGGGAAAGACTTGGAAATACCAATTCTGGCTCATCAATAAGAGTTCCCTTAGGCCCGGGCTCCGATTGGCAGACTGGAGGCATCCGACGTGTTTCCACAAGTACCCCTTTGTTGCCCACAGCTTGTTGCGATTGGAGCATTTGGTGGTCGTATCATTGAAATTGGCCCATTTGATTGCCACAAATTTTCACAATTGCCTGCTGGTTACCCGCGGTTTACCAAAAGTTGGCCCATTGGTTGCCCATGTTTTGTTGTCTTTGGCCCATTGGTTGCCCTTGTATTTCTTGGATTTAGTCCATTGGTTGCCCGGATAGTGTTGCAATTGGTCCATTTTGTTGCGCACTGTATTGGTGCCTTTGGCCCATTTGTTGCCCATGTATTTCCCTGCTTTAGGCCATTGGTTGCCCATGTATTTCTCTGATTTTAGCCCATTGGTTGCCCATGTATTTCCCTGCTTTAGGCCATTGGTTGCCCATGTATTTCCCTGCTTTAGGCCCATTTGTTGCCCATAGTGTTGCGATTGGTCCCTTTTGTTGCGCACTGTATTGGTGCTTTTGGCTCATTGGTTGCCCATGTATTTCCCTGCTTTAGGGCATTGGTGGCCCATATAGCTTTGAGACTTGCCCTTTTGTTGCCCATGTATTTGTGCGATTGGCCCATTTGTTCATCACCTTGGTTATTGACCGTATATCTTGGTTGGTTGGTTACGTAGTGTCGCCAATGTCCTGCTGGTCATCCACACATTGACATGTTTGCCATTGTGCCCCAATTATTGCCCTTTGTCCGTTAGCTGCCCACATAGTGTTGCCATTGGCCCATTGCTGGCTTATGAAGTATCATCGTTAACCTGTTGGTTGCCCTTCTATTGTCGCATTTTGCCAGTGCACCTCAATGATTGCCATTGGGCTTATTGGTTTCCCACCTAATCTGTCCGCTGCCCCATTGGTCGGTTGCTTACTTAGTGTCACCATTGACCTTGGTTGCCCATGTGTATTCCTGTTTGCCTTCTAAACTCCTCGTCCATCAAGCTCTCTATCTGCTGCTCACATTCTATACAAAGCCCCCAGTGGCTGAAACATGATAGATGTGAGAGCTCTTTTCTTTTTATTTAAGCTTTTTGCATATAGGCCAATAATAGAAATCCATATGGGGCAACTGAGCACATCGCCCCGCCTCCCCCCAGGCCAGGGAGATGCTGTGTTTTCCCTTTACGTGTGTTTGGCATGCTACCGGGCCGGCCTGTGGGCACTCCAGAGCTTGACAGAGCTCTGTACAGTACTAATACTATTTATTTTGTTTGATATTTATATATACATACATCTTTTTATTATTATCATTATTATTTTTTTATTAACGCTGGGTCAGTCCCACTCAGACCTGACATCTCACCGTGTTATGGATGCTGGAGAGTTGATGGTCCCCCCCCCATCCCCGCAGGAGTTTAGGATAGGGAGGAGTCGGGACACAAAGGTGGGGGCGGGGCCATCCAACCCTTCCAAGTGGGAATTACAGCGGGGAGAGTTCATTGGTGGAGCATCCAAAATGCAGTATAGGAGGGGCAGGGGCTGGCTTGGCTCATCATGCCTCACCTGTAAATAAAATCACATTTGGGTGCAATAACCATTAAAATAGTTTTTTGGGGGTTTTTATTTTTACCAATTTAGAACCTATTTTAGCTGATTATTGACAGACGGCGGGGCTGCTGGCACTTGACCCATACATAGTCTGCTTTTCCTGTGTAAGAGTTTTTATTCTGGAGGTTCTGATTATCCCGTACAGGTTAAAAAAGTATCCTTAGCATTTATTAATTTTTATTTTTTTAACTAATATGTATTATTTTATTTATTATATATTTGTGGGGTTTTGAGCGATTTTTAGAGTTCTCTGTGATCCCGCTCGGGGAGCTTCACCCCCTCTATTTGCCCCGATCACTAAGCAGAAAGTTTTAGAATGTTCAGTCACTGGAAAAGGGCAGATCTTCCCATGGGCACACTGGAGGATTCCCCTACATTGGAGAGGTCTCCTATCACTTCCTGTTTGTTTTTTGGGGGACAGGAAGTAATGTTAAAGGAGAACTATGGGGTCAGGGCGTTGGGGTCAGCTGTGCCCGCCCCCTCCCCTGTCCGTTCTGCCAGTCAGCGCTGGAGGATCGGACAGGGGAGGGGGGAATCCCTGCAGTGAGCCGTAAGTGACAGTCACCACTCTCTGCAGGGACAGGATCGAGAAGTGAGCGAGCGTCGGTATGTGTTCTCTCACTTCCCGATCTACTGAGCCGACCTGTGACAGTCTCATTGTCACACGTCGGCTCGAACTATGAGGTGAGTGAAAATAGCTCGCCACATAATTCTCCTTTTTTAAATCTCCTCAATTGGATATCGCACACAAAGTAACGACATGCGCAGAGACAAGAACAGAGTGTAGACTGGAGATATCATTTTATGGCACGACACTATTACAATTCTAATTTATTCTGTCACCAGGGCTACAATCATTTTACCATTTGATATTTAATAAATAAAGAATAATCTATTAAATACATTCATAAAAATCTTTACATGTATTAAAAATATATCATAATTTATAAATGAATACACTTATGAATAGATAATGCCTTTTATTAATATGAATGATAATATATATAATGCCTTTTATTAATTTAAATATAATTTAATACATTTAGTATCCATTATAATATATAAATGCACTTATTGTTCTAAATGATATATAAAGTTAGATTGTAAGCCCTCAGGGGCAGGGCCCTCCTTACCATCTTGTCTTGACTTGTATTGTGATTGTAACGTCTTCCTTATATTGTACAGCGCTGCACAAACTGTGGGCGCTATATAAATCCTGCATAATAATAATGTATTTCAACAAATCCTTTTTTTTTTTCTGCTTTTAATGGAATATATTTTAAGTTGCTTACTTTTTTAAACATTTTTTAAAATTTTATTTCCCCCCCCCAACAGGCTAACGCCGCAGTACATCTACCCGCAAGCTCTCCTCCAACCCAGCGTGGTCATCCCGACTCCAATCCAGTCCCTGACTTCTCCGTACATCGAGTACAATGCTGCTACCCAAGGCTACACACATTACACCACCGCTGCCTACGAACAGTATCCCTACGCAGCGTCGCCCGCCGCCGGTTACGTCGGCTACGGCTACGCCGGCTCTGTCCAGCAACCCATGTCTGCCACGGCCGCCGGAGCTCCTCCTACCGCGTACATCCAGTACCAGCCGACACAGCTTCAACCCGACCGGATGCAGTGAGATGGGAACACTAAAGTTTAGTCAAATTCTTGATCGTGCTTTTTTTTTTTTTATTGACCGTGAAAGGAGACGGCGGCTTCTGCGCAGCAAAAACAACAAAAAACATTAAAAAATAAATAAATCTTATTAGCACACGAAAAACGCAGAAGAATCACAAGCTGTGCCCACGATTTTCAGTTGCATTAGGAGTAAAAGTTGGAAGTTTATTGTTTCAAAAACTTTTTGGGCATCCTGAGAAGAATGTATATACAAGACGAAGGCGTTGATGAATTTTTTTTTTTTGTCTCTGTAACTTAAAAATAGGAACGTGTCTCAAATGAAGATCACTTATTAAATAGCAAAAAAAAAACAAAGTTTCTTCTATGGACTATGTCTAAAAACTAAAAATACTCAGTGATGCCTTATAGAAGTAACTGTTTTTGAATATTTATTGCATTTTTTTTTTTGTTCACCTGAGCTGTGAATCGCTATATGAAGGGTGGACGACCTCGCCGCCTTGTTAACTTTTTGTTTTTTTTTTTCTTTTTGCTAAATTATTTTTCTTTTTTTGTTTTTCAATACTTGCTGGCTATTTTCAATATGCAAATGGAGGAGTTTTTGGACTCAAAAGTTCTCAAAGCTCTTTTGGCA